TGGCAAGTCCATGTGAACGAAACACGACTCAACGAATGCCTGCCAAAAGAGGAGGGCAGAAATTCTTATTCTCACATAACCGCACACTGAACCGGTACACGCCATCAAGTTCACGTGTGGGAGTCTCTGGCACCACAACGCCATCCCATTCCCCATTATTACGCACACACAAGGCTGTGCAAGTTCCAGTCCCCGCAGGCAACCACTACGTCCAGCGGCAATGTGTGGATACTCAAAGCCGTGAAGGTTGCGACCTGAAGAGAAACCCATCTCCGGTCCACCCGCGCGGTTCCGCAAAGCAATCTGGGCGATGCGCAATGCAGCATGTCCGCAACTGGCGTTGGTTTCTGAAAAGCATCTCGCGAGGTCCAGAAGTTCAAAACGGCCCAGTACGCACTGCCAACTCCATTGCTGCCTTCTTTTTCCACTGGCTATCCTCTGTTTGACTTTAAACGGGTTATAAAGAAAGGGAGTAAATGGTTGAAAAAGACCCGGCGCGAACGTAATAGTTCCCGTCGAGCACAAATTCAGAAGCCTTTCATTTTTCACTCTTTGGCATAATGCGTGGATGGGTCTTTGGTCGATTACTGACCTTGAAGAGCCACAAAAAAGATTTGGATTCTGCTCAAATTGAGCAGCTTTGGGGCGTAGGACCAGCTGTTCTGTGGCAGAGCCTGGACCGCTGACCCCGAGCGTGCGTTCTCCGGACCCAAAATGAGAGGGCAAAGTGCAAACATCAAAAACGAATACAAATGGTTGATAGAAAACTTTACCATTCTCGGTGACGTCGTATCATCATGATCCTAATCGTATGTTGAGGCAATCAGGGGTCCAAGCGGGCCGCTCATGTTGATGCCTGCTCGCACTCAAGGCAACTTTTTTTCGTTGTGGTGACATACCTGTACAACCTGGACGCAGATCTTCTGTTGCGTATGGTAACATCGAACACTTTACTCACCGAGCACTACAAGAAGTACGAGTGGAGTTATTGACGTGATGGCTGCGCAGCTTCGCCCTGGGCTCGGTATCCAAAAAGATGTACAGCGGAACACCGTCCCCCATGTTAAAGGCAACTAGCTCCATGCCATGGGTTTCCCAAACTTATAGAGCGCCTGGTAGGCCAAAACTCCTGGAAGTGGTGTTGCGGATTGGACGGGATGGCGAGAAGTAAATTGGACCGAACTGCGGTTTGAATACCCCGGTTCGATGAATTGTCGTAAATTCCTTGATTTCGGGATTTCGTTTTTCCCACTGTCGTCCTTTGCACGTCAACTTCAAAGAAACATTCAATCGTAGAACCGAAGAATACGCAGCGTAGACGGTAGAGACTGTAAGTCTTGCCACCATTTCCCCATTTCGCATCAACAGAAGGTGCGACAAGGATATGTGATCCACAAACGGTGCAAACCGCAAAAAAGTGGTTTGATCGAATAATATTGTACAGCAGACATGCCGCGCAGAAAGGCCGGTCTTTTTCATAACGGCGGCAAAGTCTCAGACCAGGAAACACAATTCACCCGCACCCGCAGCTCTTCATCCATGACGGAACTTCTCAGGTGGTACGTAAGAGATGGATTTGTTCAATCTTAAATTAGCAAATGCAGCGGAATCGTAAACAGTAACAAAAGCTGGTGCGCAAACACCGGGAGCGCAGCTTGGTGCTGACCACCAGGAGCGGGAGCGCAGTTGATATAGTCGATTGGCTCTTTTCACCGGTTGCCCCGACGATGAAAGCGATGAGCCGCAGAGTACATCTTTCTGAGGATACTTACTGGCCGACAGAAGGGACCGCGGGATAGTGAGGTGCCACCATAGTGAAACTAGTCCCAGGCCATGGTACGGTACGCCAGAGCGCGCACTGATAAGTCAGCGCAGATTGGAGTGATTCGATGACCCCATTCTTCCGTGTGTGTCTATCTCACATTACCTTTTTTTCATACACCAGTATGGTTGAAGGCCCTAACAACTTCTGATTCATATGGGGTGGTTACCTTGGTGTTATCTAACAAGTAGGATGATTAAAAAAAGAGTTCAGCAACGGTCGAGAGTGACGTGGCCCAGACGTAGTAAGTCCATCGTCGCCATACTGCAGTGATATTTAAAAGCGTTCAAGTATCCGCACCGGCACGCCACATTTCAATGCGGTTATGGAAGTGTGTGTAGTGGCGGGAAGAAAACTTACAGGGGACGCAGGTGCTATGTCATGGTTGCTTCTGTATGGGTATTATTACTGACCGATTATCCTTTGCCAACCCTTCACACCTTTTTTCCCCACTGCCTCAAGTATTGTGCGTCAAACTTGTTGCCGACCTTGCCATCCATGTCTTTGGTCGTTGCTGGGTTTGTATGGCCCAAGTACGGTTCACGAATACCCGCCAAAACTTTTTCTCCGCGTGTTCTGCAATCCGTGCGAAAAAAAAGAGCTTTGAGTTCGATGATCATCGGAATAGGGAATGACCGTCCTGAAACCCTGTATGGAGTTGTTTGCCAGCGCTTGTGTCGGGATGTTCTTGTTTGTGGCTCAAGTTGCCGGTGGTTGTGCGCAGTGCGGATACCGGACCCAAAACCCCGCAGTTTACATGACAGCAGGACTTGGATATCTGACGACTCAAAATGCAATTAGATACGCTGTGGCTTCTGATGGGCGAATTGAAATGCAAGCTGCTGGCCTCGGTGAAAATGGGGTGTCCACTGCCGGGACCGTTAGCTGTCCGACCGCTACCATTTTTTTAGCAGGCGCAAAAGACGTGCTCCTTCGCTCCTTCAATCCAAAAGATTATCCAAAACTACAAGCGACGTTGCCCAACTTCACCCCCTGGCCGCACATTCCACTCACAAAAGAACAGGGCCGGACATGAACCAGGCAACGGTGGTCCACGCAGGAGAAAGGGACTAAGTACAGCAAAATCTAAAAGAAAAGTTACAGCACTCAGTATTCCCGTGTGGTCCCCCACCACAGTACTGACTGCGCCATCACCAGCTTAACTTCGGAGATCGGACGGGATCCGGTGTATTCTGGTGTGTATGGCCGTAACTGAATGCGATAGTGGGATGACCGGTTATATTCATTTAATGAGCCGTTTCGCACCAACATGTTCAACTCGGGAAAGATATCCGAACAAGGACGTATCCGCTATTAGGGTTTGACGCACGGTAGGCTCCTTCTCCAGCACAACCCGCACCAGCCAGCGGCTCCCCTCGTCAACCTGCAACCAATTAGCGCCGACTAGGTTTCGTTCTCTGCAACGAATGTTCGCTACGCTGCAGGCAGAGCAAACGTAGTCCCATGAAGTGCAAGGAAGCGCTCGTGCGCGCAGTCGACACCTCGGTGGAGAAACCCGCTCCACTTCAGTGCTTCCTGCAAGGAGTTGGGGGACAGATCCACGTGTCATTTTACTAGTCACTTGTATGTCTAGTTAAACGGCTATATACAAAGAAAAGGTGTACTCAAGCAGTATGGAACAGTCAACTGGTTGCCCAGTCCCCAAATCCCTTCCCCGGCCCTCGCGCCCCAACCGAACCCGACCGATCCCTCTATCCGCCCCATCCGGCCCGCAAAGAATTCTACGTTTCGTCACGCTGGAGCTGTGGCAACAACGTCGCTTGTCCCAACGTTTCCTGCACTACCGTTCGCCGCCGTCCCAAAATCGGGTAAGTTGGGTGAAGTCTTTTGACGCACGGTGGTTTTGAGCTGTTTGAGGAAGAAGAAACCCGCTATTGCGCTGTGAAGAATTGCGAAATGGCGAACGTTTCAATTCAAGTGGGAGCAGAATGTTGGTGAATCGCACTCAAGACAACAAAGCCGCGCTTTGTGACAGACGATCCTTACTGAAAAACAAGCATGCTCCCAACCAGTTGGAAAGCTTCGTTCCTGCTGTCCGGCCAGACGTACCGCAAGCCATACACTGCATACGACGTGAGGTCCGTCAATGTGCTAACAATAAAAAGGGCCACGAATCGCCAGCGGGCGTCCACAAATACAGTGGGTTGCTGCAGTTGGGCGGGTGGACGTTTGGCGTCTACCGATGAGTCATTTTTTGTCTGCTCGTTTCTCTCAAGGCTCGGAAGGTTTTGAAACGACACCAACTCCCTTTCCAGGGCGAAGATCTTGTGCACCATCAAGGGCGCCATAATCAAGTCCATGAGTGCCACGGAAGTAAATCCGCTCGTCGCCACGAGGTTCAGAAAGCCCCAATTCTTGTTGAAAAGCAGTATTACGTCTGAAAGGAATCCCAACGGGAAACAAACGAAAAGGAGTTTGGAGAGGGTGGGGACCAGCCAAGATGGGTATTGGATGATGGATTCAAAGAGGGTGAAACGGTCCAGTAGGATGAGACCATACAAACATCCTGTGCGGTTGGGGGTGTCTCAGTCAGTCAGCAACCTACACCGTTCCACTAGCGTACACCCCGTCAGAACGCATGCCAACTCACCCGAGGACATGTAGAACGCCATATCCACAACGTACGTCGCCACTTCATAGCGCTCTGACGATGCTATCGACATTGTACGCGCGCCATGACTGTCTCCAACTGTGTAAGGAACCAGAAACACAACGGTGCCAAACAGCGCTATGGAGCATGCTGTTATGAGTTTGGTGAGGCGGGGTCGCGGAGCAGAGAGGGATAGAAACGATTTGACATGGACGTAGGCTGTCACACCGCTAACGAGGATGCAGAGGATGTTGAAGGATAAGGTGACGATTAGGGAAGTCCCCATTTAGAAGCCGGGATTGAAGAGGCGTGGGTGTCTACTAATGGGATGGAACGCGTCCATTTTGTTTACTTTTGTTTGCATTGATCGCTCATTGGATACCCTTAAACAATTGCCTCATTCCTGGCGAAACGCACCAACGTGGGGGAAGCACCAAACAGAAGGACAAAGCAGCTAGCTTACTCGACATGACAATACGCAAGCAGCATCCATAAAACGAACGGGAAAGGATTGAAGCTCCTCTCACAGATATAGATTCGCCATCCACAATCGCATTCATCAACGCGTCTCGGTTAGTATAATGGTTCAGTATCTCCGCCTGTCAACTGTTGGTAGGATCTGCTCCAACATCTACGACGGTTCGCGGAAGATCCGGGTTCGATTCCCGGACCGAGAGTGCTTTCCCGAACCAGAAGAACGGACTTCTGCGACATTCCCACTTTTTGTAGCGGCGGTGCCCGTTTTGCAGCGGGTTTTCGCAGCAGTGCTCGGCGGGAGGTGGTGGTGTTTTGGAAGTGTTCTGCTCGGTCCATCCCTTGATGCATGCATCACGGCAGGGCTGGGATTTTTCTTTGTTTTGCTACACCAAATGGTGTAGTGTCAAGCGACTACGTTGCATTACACAGCAGAGCTGCGCAAGAGCACCGGCCGGGGGTGAGAACCGCCTGAATAGCGGCGCCAAGGAGCACGATCTGAAAGGACGTTGAGTGCCTGAGGGACCGTTCTCTATGAATTCCGGCACAATTACGCTCGCCGTTGGGATGCTTTGCGGGCATATGTCTTGTCCATACAGCTGGTGAGACGTTCAGTACGGGTATGGCGGCGGAATTGGCTGGCGTCGCCCGGTATGCGCTCCGGTATGGGGTTTTGGTATCAAGAATGATGGGTGCCCGGAGGAAAAAAAGCCACTTGAAAGTCGTTCACTCGAAAGGCAAGACGAATTTTGAGTCATGTCTATCGTTTGAATGATCAGTGGGAAGCATCACGGTTTAGGGGGTCACTTCTCAGATACGTGATAGCCGATTTAGAAATGTTCGGTGCCACCACCCCATTACCAGGAAGAGAGAGGAAGCGACTTACGGGAGGGAGGCTACAGACGAAACAAAATTTGTCGAAATCTGCCTGCTGCTCAAGTGTGTGCGGGTTTCTCATGCGCCGAAATCAGCGCTTGTTCGACCAGTTTTTCCGACATTGGCAAAACCAAAGATGCGCAAAACCCGGGTGCGGATGGGAAAAAAGATTCAAGGCGCCTCAACATCCGACCCATGTCTGAAATCGAGATTCCGTAGCAGACGGATAATATGAGAAGGTTGGATATGGCAACATCAAACGGCACCTCCAACGGCCTCATAAACTCAACTTGGTCGAAAGGTCATTCATTGGCAGGGTCACAGTACACTTAATGAACCTCTCAATGGAAGATTGGTACTTGCATCGCCTTCGCATACGGCAAACCCTTCCTATATCAGAATCCGCTTGCGAAATACACGATGGATCAGGAGTTTCATTCCAAAACAAAAAGCATCCGATGCGACGCAGGCGTGCTGGGCATTTTGAAGCCCAGCCGCTCAATTGCGCCAAAGTTTCGTTTTGCAAGCATTGATGTTGCACTGCCTGCATTGCAGACCTGCTTGCTGAAGCCATGCCCAAAGCTTGCCCGACGCCACCAGTCTTGCAATTTGGGAAGAAAAAGACCTGCGGTGGAACTTCCGGGTCCCCCAAAAAAGTAATTCACAGGGTGACATTCCCATTGTCACAAGCGTGAAACTGCGCGCGTAGTCGTCATGCCTCGGGTGAGGGATGTATGCTTGTCAATTGAGAGATGTACCAGTGGATGGATGCACGAATGGTCCCCTATTTGTTTCCGTGAACGTAGGCAGTGATGGCGCAGACCTGAAGACGGAACCACGCAGTCCGCCAAAAAAAAATGAAATAAGAACAAGAGAGCGGCGAAGAAGGGAAACTCTGCCATAACAGACAACACCGTGAATCCTGCGTCCACCATGCCTGTGACCCCACTGAGTATTCGTTGATTGAACCGAAAAAGACGCCGAAACGGCCAAAAAAAGTCATGTCTGCACCTGAAATCATTCCACGGGGTTTCGATCGACGAATACTCCCCCGCAAAACCATGCGGTGGCCCCAAGTTTCCATCGTAAAAGATGTGATGTGCAATACAACTCAATCCATCCCGCTTGCCGGGACACAAAAAAACCACGTAGCATACGGTACCTATACGGATGTGGGAGCGGAATCACCCCCCTCGCCCGCACTCCTAGGTACCCCCTTTGAGACACTCCGGTTCTCGACAACGCTCCGCGCTCTGACATGCTGGTTTCCGTATCCAGACAGCGTAGGGTGGTGAATGCCAGAAACAAGAAGACCGAGAGCTACCCAGCCTGCCAGAAAAAAGAAAAAAGCGTCTAATGACCAACGATGTGTAATTTACCTGGGTAGAAGGGAGAACTAACGCAATAATGGTTTCCGTAGTAATAGCCTGGTTGACCGACCGATTGGAGATATGGAGCATCCGTTGACTGAACCGAAAAGGAATCGAAAACGGCCCAAAAAAACAAACGATTGAAAACATAGGATTTGCATACCGCGGTCTCAACGCCAGCAATGTACGATAAAGCTGAAGAATGATTGTGTGGGTACTCCTTGCGGGTGTGTTTCACCGGCTACCTAACTTGCACTACGACCGCGCGTCTCGATCAGTTTAGGCACGGTACTTTATCCAGCTTCTATGCTGAAGAGGAGTTGTAAACTTGTAAAATATCATGAAGTGCGCACAATTATCGGAAACACTGGAACCGGTATCAATGGGCAAACTCGGGCTTGCGTCCGTAGTCCCCGGTTGTCGATCAAGTTGTTTTTTTTTTCGGCGGTGCGCCATGCCAAACCCCACATTTCCATACTGACGACAGAAAAGAAATGTTTCTCTACTACGGTATGCTGCCTGGATGGGGTATGTGGCCTATCCAACATCAACTTCTGCGTAACAAATACCGTCGTCATATGCTCAAGGGCTGACATGCAGTACAGCTTGGGAGACTTTCCTGGCATTAAACCTGCGCGCGCAGTCGAGTTTTTTAACCGGTGTCCTAGTACGTTGCGCGTCTTGATGAGGTCCATGTACAGCACTTGATCCAGCTTCTACGCTGAAACGGAGTACATATGGGCGTAGACCACTTTGAATCTTTTTTTGCGTCCATGATTTGTTCGCAATCAAAATGCAAAAGAGAAAACCAAAATGTATGAAAAATGCGGTTGGCCACAATCAACTGGCGCGTGTTTCGGGTCCAATGTGCTGGTACGCTGACCTGACTTGCTGCGGTCTATCTACAGTACTTGATCCAGCTTCCATGCTGAAACACTACATATGGGGGTAACTACAGATTCTTTTTCGTGGGCGTTTAGATTGATTCCGCAATAAAATGTGGTCGGCCGCAATAAAGTGGCGCGTGTGTGTATTTGGGTTCACTTCCGTTTGGTTTCTTCACCGTCATGCGCCATAGAGTATCTCTCAAGATACAGCATTCCTTCATGTTCTCTTCTCTGAACTTTCTTATGTTGTCTGCCACCATGTGACAATCTTTCACTAGGTGCCCGACTTTCTTGCAGGCTCCACATCGTGCTTTCTTGATCCAATCGGTGTTCCTCCCTAGGGTTCCACCGCGTCCACCACCACGTCCTCTTCCGCGA